TGAGCAAAAGTATCATCACTTAAGTAACAGCAGTTACTTAAACTGAAAATGAGAGATAACTCAAAATTACTTTTGCAGAATGCTCAAAAATATCATCAGACTTCTTGTGGTTCTGAAGGTTCAACAGCAGTTTCTTTTGAAGGAGGAATCAACCCTGAAGGGAACTCACTTCTACTTTCAGAGTGTAGGGGTGGGGGGAAGTATCCAGCTCTTGGGGGAGGATATTGAGGAACAGCAGTCGGTGAGTAGACTGTTCTCACTGTTCAAAGAGATTGATACAAGGTATTTTTTTAACTTTAAGAACCTGCACAATCCTACTAAGTCATTAGCTTCATAACTTACATTATAGCTTCATAACCAGAAATTATTTTATCTAATAAATTAATTTTTACATTAAAAAATATACTTTCTTTAATTACTCTAATGATTAATGAGAAGATCATTAATTTTGGACACAATTTTTATCTTAATCTTTCAAAGGGAAGAATTATTTCAAAATATTCAAAATTTACTTTAAAAAACTTTTTCAACGTAATATAATCTTCACCAGACTTAACACTCAGATTAGTGGCTTTTGACTGGATATTATACTAAGACATATCTACTTTTAGTATAAAACTGTCTCACACTTCCCCAAACAAAATTCATTTTAATTCACCTCAAACTTTAAAAATGGAGGAGAAATGAGGGAATAACTACATAAGACAACTAATAGGCTTTTGTTATTATTTGATGAACATATCTTTATCCTGCAGAAGCCTATTGTTCTAAATGGCAAAGTATAGTAATAAGAATAATTATTCCTTTTTTCTTATGATGCTCTGAAAGAATTTCAATAAATCCAACAAACAAATCAATAAGACCACATGGTAACTACATATGGAAGCTTTTTTAAATACTCTAGCCAGTAATTTTAATTCTAAAATATAAATTATAATCACTTTAACTAATTGTCACAAGTTTCTACCCAATGAGATGCAAATAATTTTAGTGTAACATAGAAAAGTCAATTGACTTTTTTTGAAGTTACAACTTCAAAAAGCCAATGATTTTCTACACTACTAAAATACAGAAATAATTCCACATTTTTTTTCAGATTAACCCCTTTTATTCTCTCCCTTACCATTTCCCTCCTACCCTGTTATTCAACAGCTTTCAGTATGTCTGTTACATCATCTGTCTGCACAGATGCAATGTGTGATTCCACACTGTAAAGATGAAGTCTCATGACAGTCTACTGATGCCTTCTCCTTTGGGAGAAGTAATGGTATACTCACAGAACATTAGAAAAACTGTTCTTCTACTATATTACATGAGTAGACAACAAAATTAGTATCTCAAACACATATTAAGTTAAAAAAAAGCCTACTTGGGAATGAAGGATGTGGTGGGCCAGGGAAATCCCTTGGCAGAAAATAATCTCGAGGGGCTCCATACATGCTTGCTAGAGGAGGTGGAGGAAAAGGAGGCCCCCTTCTTATAAAATGGCTCCTCGGATCCATGGGAAACAATGGGCCTCTGACAGGAGGAGGTGGTGGAGGAACGAAGCCAGAGCCAGCTGCTTCACTTTCAGCAGGGAGAGTAGAGTCAGGCACATTTGAATTCTGTAACAAATTCACATTGGCAATCACTAAAACAATAAAATTTATAACAGTTTTCCTGAAAATGTTAAGCTTACAAGAAAGCACATAGGCACCTATGAAGGAAACAGTCCATGACAAACTTAGAAAGCTACAGATAGTCAGTTTTCCACATTAACCTATCAGCTGGTTTTTGGCTACCATAAATATTCAACTTGATCCAACAGAGTAATATTCTGGCTGAAAATAAAACACAAATGTAGTTCAAGAGTATCAAAATGAAAAAATGCTTATGTTTACATTTTTAGTTATCAAAAACGATATTGTTAAGTACAGTAAACAAAAATATACTTTAAAACATTTAAATGTTGGATAAATAAAAATCCAAGAGGGAAAATCCAAAATCTCATTCAACTAGGAGGCCCTCCCCCCAGTATACAAACTATACTTTTTTTTTTTTTTTTTTAAATAGAAGCTGCCAGGCTTCTTCTGTTGTTGTTTGTTTGTTTGTTTGAGACAGGGTCTCCCTATGTAGCCTAGGCTAGCCTTGAAATTGCAATCCTTCTGCCTCAGCCTCCCAGGATCTAGAATTGTAGGCATGCACCACCATGCCTGGCTTGGAACTTTTACTTCATCAACGTAAGTTAGAATCCAGAAAAGAAACAGTTTTAATGCTAAGTAGGAAGTATATTTGTGAAAAGACAGAAGCAACTCTATACTACAAAGTAGATTATTAGCTATCATTTCTAGTCTAGTAAACCAAGAGATTACAAAGTTCCTGAATACATGGGTAAAAATCCACTATCCATACTTACACCAAGATCATCTCTGGTATCATTTCTACCGGATTCCATTTCTGAAGACACTGGACCATCTAGACATAAAAGTTAAACCATGAAAAATACATGAGTTATCATTTCATTCCTAGATTATTTCCAGATCAAAAATGACACTGGTATCTTCCCACTCCCCTTGTTGGCACAGAAACCAGCTTGATACCAGCATTCTATATTAGGACCACAAGAACAGCTTGAGTTCCCTGGAAATTGTGGCAAACTCAGAATTCTGCAGCAGAGTGTGACTGACTTCTCCAGCTGGTTCTTTACTGCTACCTCACTGCAGTAGCATTATAAGGGGACATCTGGGAGGTAACAGCCCTTTCCTTCTCTTTGCTCTCTTCCTTTCTTCCTCCTAGAGTAGCCACCTGAATTTAGGCCCTGTTTCCAAAAATATTTTCTTGGAAAATATTTCCAGGAAAGGCTTGGTCTCCATGAACATAAATTCAAAGTTTCCTCTGAGCATACCTACCTAGTCTCTCTTAGTTTCTCATTTAGTCACTTTTACTACACCTGTCCTTGGATATCACTTAGGTTTTTTGTCCTCTGACCTAACCCTCAGTTTCCTCTTTTCTTCCCCTAACGAACGTGAGTCCAAAGTCTACCACTACGGCCAGTCATCTCCCTACCCTATTGCTCATTATTCACTTGTGTTTCATACCAATTTAATTGTTATGATTAAGATTGATCCAGATCTCTGCTTCTACTATGCCTATATCTGAAACACTCAGCATTGCTAGGAACAAAAAAATACCACAGTCATGCAGACTAGCACCACTCCAGCATCACCACCATACTCCTGTCTGCACACCCTAGCCTTCTTTCTGTATCTTCAAACCAGCTTTCTCTTCAGCAGTTCCAAAACTCCATTCTCCTAGACCTACTGTGCCAGTCATTTACACACACCCTTAAATTTTTATGATCAAATATATCACAACAAAAGTCATATTCACATGACTTTTCACCCAAGTGCCACAGTCAGGAACCTAAGCATCCACCAAGGCTCCTTCTCCCTCACTTCTCACTTACCTTCAATCCTAAATCCTCAGATTCTTTTTGCAGTCATTTCGTATCAACCTATCCCCTCTGCTAAATCACCATCATCATTTAGATTCCTGTCATAGTCTCCTAAAAAGTTACCCTGCCTCCAATCTTCATTGTTCTAATTATTCTCTACAATGCAACCACAGAAATTTCTCTAAACTTCAGACATATCTTATTATATTATTGCTCTGCTTAAAATTTTATCATGTATTCCCATTATATCAGAATAAAGTCCAAACTTCTGAACAGGAATTGAAAAGCCTTGCAAAATCTATATAATACTTACCTCCGTTAGCTACATGTTTAAAGATTCCCTAAAGCACACTCCACCTTTAAGTCTTTAAAATTGATATTCTCTCATCCTAGCATACTTTGATCATCATTTTGATCCAGCTAATTCTTCCCTTAATTCTCAGTTAAATGCCACATCTTCCATGAAGTTTCCCTGATTATCTCACACTTGAAATACTGGCATCTTATCTAGGTTAGTGCCCCATATTCCTGTAACACTTTCTACTCATAAATCCTGTCTCTATCTAGTGTAAATGCCTATAGGCCTTTATTTTTTTAATTGGACCTCAAGGCATAACAAATGCTGAATTCCTATCTCTTGTTTACCACTGACATACAAGTACCATAATATCTGTCATAAAGTAAGCTTTCAATAGATACAGTTATATGCCACATTACGATGCTTTGGTCAATAATGGACCACACATATAACCATGGTTCCCTAAGATGGCACTGCTGTTATTTTAGCCATCTTCGTTTGGTAAGTACATTCTCTGATGTTTGCACAATAACGAGTCACAAAGCAATACATTTCTTGAAACACATTAAGCAACACATCATTAAGCATCACCAGTAAGCCATACATGACTATATTAAGTGCATCAATAGCTTGTTCCACTGTCCTCTCTTTCCAATAAGGTATAGTAATCAAAGCCATAACTCTGGCATCAGACAGATATGCACTCAAACCTTGCTTCTGATACTTCCTACCTTAGATCTTGAGAAATCTTTTTTTTTTTTTTTAATGGTAATAGGGTTTGAACACAGGGCCTCACGCTTGCACTATTCCACTTGAACCATTCTGCCAGCCAGGAGTGTAGATTTGAGAGCCTGGCTGCCTGGATTCAAATCCCAGCTCAGGAACTGATTTTTTTTTTTTGTAGTGCTGGTATTTGAACTCAGGGCCTTGCACTTGCTAGGCAGGTGCTCTACCACTTCAGCCATGCCTCCAACCCATAAAATGGGGATAACAAAATCATCTACTTTATGGGGTCATTGTTAAAATGAAATAAATACATTTTCATTCAATAAATGTTTGCAGAGCACTAGTGCTAGTGAATGTTTTAGCCATATCTCTCATCATTCTCCTTCAGGTACTGACATAAAAAAGACAAACTAACAAAGTACACATAAACTGACACATACATACAATATAGCATACACTGACAAGCTAATAATAATACATAGTATTTATGTAGGATTTTGCTATTTACAAAACACTTCCACACATATGAACTCATTAAACCCTGTAATAACCTTGTCAATTGATGAAAAACTAAATTTTACAGCTATTATTCATCAGTGGCTTGCGATGCCCCTTCTTTTTGTTTATGCTCAGTTAATTGTTTATGTTCCCTCAAAAGCAGTTCAAACACCACCTCCTTCATGGAGTTTTCTCTGATCCATCACCAAATGAGAAATCTCCACATCTCTAAACAAAGCATACTCTCTTATGGAACTCACCATTCTGACCAATATCAGATAAACATAAACATTTGTCTTTCACTGCTATCTAATTATTAGCCCCTTACTATAATTATATCCTGTACCATGACATACAGGGTACCTCTTAAACAGTAGGCACTTAAAATTTATTTGCTAAATTAAGCTGGGCTTAGTGGTGCATTCCTTGAGTGCCAGCTACTTGGGAAAATAAGGAAGGAGAAACACTTGAGCACTTCTGATTTGAGATCAGCCTGGGCAATAGGACAAGACTCAGTCTCAAAAAACAAAAGAAGAAGAAGAAAGATTTTAAGTTATACTTTGAATAAAAGCAGCAGAATCTGTGACACAACTGCATGAATATTCAAGAGGTTAGATCAAGCTTTGAAGTTCTGGGGAGAAATATCTGAATTATAGATATGGAAGTGATTAGTAGCATATATAATTAAAGCTGATGAGTGGACAAGATTTCTCAAGATGAAAACAGAGTAAGACCAAGGTTGGCACTCTGAAGATCCCATCATTTAAGGCTGGTCAGAAGTAGTAGACTCCACCAGAGAGACTGAGAAGTAGCCTGTAGACAGGAGGGCTAGAGAGAAAGAAGGGTCTTATCATGGAAATCAAAGGCTGAGAGCATTTCAAGAGGCAGCAACTGTGGAAATACATAGCTCCCCTTTGTCCATGAGGAACATGCCAGAGACCCTGGATAGTACTGAGCCCTATATATACTGTTTTTTCCTATAATGAACACAGGCCCTGTGTACTACTGCAGAGCTAGTAACTGAGATGGCCACGGATGGGCCAGTAGTGGATACTCTGGACCAAAGAATGACTCATGTTCCAGGCAGGACAAAGTAAAACCATATGAGATTTTATCATGCTACTCAAAAAAGTGCACAATCTAAAACTTAACGAATTTTTTCCCTGGAATTTTCCATTTAACACTTTCAGATATAGTTGACAGCAGGTAACTAAAACCATGGAAAGTGAAACCACAGATAATGAAGGAGCTATTACAATATAAAATGAAGACTGATAGTGTCTATTTTAATTCAGCTTGTAAAGCGATTCCCAGAAATTATTAGCTAAATTACATTCCACTAGGGAACAAATGAAAATATGTAAAAAAAATTAAATGACACTAGCTTAGAAATGGGTATTTAATCATAGGTTTAATCATTCCATTAAATGTGAATTAGTGAAGGGGGGGCAATTTCAAAAGCCAAATAGTTAGAAAGAATTATCTTAAACATAACCAGATAACAGAAATCTAAACTGTAACTTTGCTTCTCTGCTTGCTAGTAAAAATATATTGATTTTCTAAATGAATAAACACTTCAACTGGATAATGCTCCCCAATATACACCCTTTCCTCCAGAAACTTATTACCAATAAATTTATTTTTAATTTTTTACTTGTTAAAAATTCCATTTTCCTAGCCAGATACAGGTAGCTCACGCCTGTAATCCTAACAACTCAGGAGGCACAGATCAAAAGAATCTCAGTTCAAAGCCAGGCCTGGGCAGATAGTTTGAGAAGCCCTATTTCAAAAATATCCAACAGAAAACTGGACTGCTGGCGTGGCTCAAGTGGTAGAGTGCCTGCCTAGCAAGTGTGAGACCCTGAGTTCAAGTTCTGCTATCGCTAAAGGAAAAAAAGTTCCATGTTTTCCTTTCACATTATGCACTTTTTTCCCCCCAGTGCTGGGGTCTGAACTCAGGGCCTACACCTTGAGCCACTCCACCAGACCTTTTTTGGAATGGGTTTTTTCGAGATAGGATCTTACAAATGATTTGCCCAAGCTGGCTTCAAACCATGATCCTCTGCTTCCTGAGTAACTAGGACTATAGGCGTGAGCCACTGGCACCCAGCTCATTATACACTTTTGATAACTATAGCAGATACATGTATTTCTCACTTCAGTGAGTGGCTGTGACATAGTTTAAATAAAAGAGACCTAATAAACAATAGATTGCTCAGTAAACGTTAGTCAAATATACAGGAAACTGATTAAACCATCAACAGAACATGCACCTAAATTATTTTTCTGGTAGACTTTCACATATTCATTCCCTTTTTTTCTGGTGAGATTACAGTCTGAACTCAGGGCTTCACACTTTCAAAGCAGGCACTTGCAAAGCATGCGTGAGCCACATCTCTAGTCCATTTTGCTCTCTCATTTTGAAGATGGGGGTCTCAAACTATTTGCCCAGGCTGACATCGAACCACAATCCTCCTTAATCTCATCCTCCCAAGTAGCTAGGACTATAGGCATAAGCCACTGACATCCAGTGGTACACATTTGCTTAATTTCCCTGCTTACTAAACAGGATATAAGTCAGTGGACTGGAAAACATTAAAAATTAGCCATGGAACAGAATGAAGTTTACCATGATAGGTAAATCCACAATAGCAGTACTCAAACCAACTGCCAACATGTGTTTAGATGTCATGTCTGTATACAGGGCAACGAGAAACATAAAACCAGGAAATAAATTTTGACCTTAAGAGCTACCAGAGATAGCAATAGCAATTATGTGAGTCTGTTACTAAGCTTCTGGTTCTTTAGTATGCCAGTTATTTAAACACATATACACACACGGCATTACTTACCCACTTTGTCCAAAGAAGGCATATTAAAGCTCTGAAGCTCTGCTGGTCCGGACAGTCTGCCAGAATTAGAATAAAATCTATCTTGCCTTTGGAGAGGAACAACTGGATCAGGATATGGCTGGCCTACAAAACAAGTTTTTAAAATATCTTCAGTAATGTAAACATAAATCTAGTTTACCTAAGTTTAATACACTGAACTTAGACACCTATCCTGCTTCCTAAAAATTCTGACCCTTACCATTAGTAGGCAATAGTGAGCAATTTTTTAAAAAATACTATAAGCATACTTTACTTTGGTATTTAAAAAACAAGTATAACTTGGTACTTTGGTTTTAAATGTTTTAATTACTGTGTATAGAAATGCCAGTAAAATCTGAGTATGAAATGTTTAAACAAGTTATCTTGTTAGAATGCATGGAAAGAAAAATATAGGTACTTAAATTCATTTAACTTTAATAACAGTAGATCAAAATAGATATACCAATGTATTTAAAAAAAAGACTTTAAGGAGATAGCTTACAAGGGGGAGGGAAATAGAAAATGTAAACAGCAAGAAATTTAGCAGAACATGTGACATATGTCATCAGAGCAGAGCAGAAAGAGTATATCATTCAGAAGTCATCACTGGTCAAATTTTCACTAACTTCAAAATTTTGGAGCCAGGCACCAGCAGCTCACAGCTTTAATCCTAGCTACTTAGGAGGCAGAGACCAGGAGGATAACACTTGGAAGCCAACCTGAGTAAATAGTTTCTGAGATTCTATCTTGAAAAAAACCAACAAAAAAAAAGGGCTGGCAGAGTGACTCATGTAGTAAGAGTGCCTGCCTGGCAAGCCTGAGGTCCTAATTTCAAACCCCAGTACCACCAAAAAATAAAAAATAAAAATAAAGGGGCAGAGCATCCATCCCAAACTGAAGGGAAAGAGCTAACTCAACAGATGGACAGAAGGCTTCACACTGCTGAGGTTAAGGACATCTGGACAGACACAAATTTGGACATAGACTGACCCAGGTGCATCTTCAGCCACCCAACTTGGTCCTAAGAGTCACTGAGGATGCAGAATGGTAATTCCTAATTCCTCAAGGAACTCGCCATTCTTAAAAAAATTATAGGTAGTCTACTCATTCTTGAGAGGTGACGGCAGACTTTGTTGGTTAGGTAAGCATATGTCCAATTCTAAAACTATGGAAGTCAAAGAGGGCAAATTGTGTGACTCTCTCTCCTAGCCAATTATAGATAAGAACAAAGAGCTCCAAATTGCCACTCATGGCTGTCACAGTCAGTGGGTTCATAATGCAAACTCCACATAAAAGTATTAGATATGTCATTCCTCTACACCTTACTCAGTCACAGGGGACTCAACCAAAACATCTCTCACACACCAAGTCAAGGAAAGCCTTAGCACCAACCATAGTGAGTGAAGAAAATTATATTTAATGAACTCCCCAGGGTCAGGACATGTGAATGAGGAAAAAAAGGTCCAGATATTCTTGAAGGCTCATTTCAAAATCTCAGCAAAGCGTTGTCTCGGTGGGTCAGAATAAGCCCCATAAAAGCCAAGGCTAACTTTTGAGACCAAAATTGTACTCTCCCTTTTACTTGAAACATGGGATTAATTAAATAGCAGAGTTGAGCAAGAAAATAAAATTGAGAAACCTGAAAACTTCTCAACACATTGTTTCTAAAATACATCCCTACATCATCAACAACCAAATAAACTTAAAAAAATTGTTAAATCTTACTGCTTTATAAATCATATGTCCATGTTGCTCTCCACTGGCAAAAGTAATCCATTCCTTAAATCCAAGGCCTATTATGTGCCAAGTACTAGCAATACAACAGTGTTCGTCTCAATATAGTCTGGGCCTTAGTACTCTAAATAGTTACAGAAATTAGTAATAATAATGTGACCAATGTCTTAATAAAGGGGGGATATAAATAAGCAGTGGCATATCTAATTCTAATCAGAAGACCAAAAATGGTACCAAAAAGAAAGTAAAAGGGCTGGGAACATTGCTCAAGTGGTACAGCGGCCTGCCTGGCAAGCATGAAGCCCTGAGTTCAAACCCCAGTACTGTCACCAAAAAAAAAAAAAAAAAAGAGGCAGTAAAACTTGCCCTAAAAACATGAAAAAATAAACATGGCTATTCTGGTCAAATTCCTGCACACGTGAGAGGCATATGATAAATGAAAGACTGAAACACAGAAATAAGCTTTTTTTTTTGCTTTCACATCTTTGTTTTCCAAGACTTTTATAACAGGTGGTTAAAAAGAAAGACTGGAAGAAGGAAAAGGATCAGAAAAAGCAATGAA